TGAACACAAATTAGTTAGCATAAATCAGTTAAATGATGAAAAATGAGGTGTCTATTTACTTGTGACCACTCAGTGTATATAAATATCATACATGTATTATATGTTCTCCAATTTTGCAGATATATTTAGATATTTGAAAGTAGTAATAAGCTTTAGGTAGCTTGTTGCATGTCATAAAAACTTAAACTATTTGTAGTTTGGAAGAACAGAAATGATCAAGAATACCTTGAATCCCGACTTTGTTAAAAAATTTGTCATTGATTATCGATTTGAGGAAATTCAGAAGCTCAAGTTTGAAATGTAAGTACAGTTTTAAACAGTACAGTTTTAAAATTTATTTTATTCTCTCATAATTTATACTCTTAGGTAGCTCCTCTCACCATTTAAAGTCTGAAATTTGTCTTGGGCATTCATTAGTTTCTGTTTACTATTAATAATTAATATTTTAATTTTATTCAAATTAGTGATTGGATTAAAGTACTTTTTGGAAGAGGTAGTAAATTGCAAGAGACATTCAATTTAACATTTTTCATGTATTCCGTTTTTCTTATTATTTTGTATTTAACCCATTGACTGCGGCTGCTCTAAACATACATGGAATTTTTGCAAGCTGTGTACAGCACACTTGCATTCAACTGCTGAAGGTGGTCTGTACCTTATAGGGTGAATAAGCAGTCAGTGGGTTAATAGCTATTATGTTAAACCTTAAAAAAACATTGTAAGATCTTTTTTCTAATTTTTTGTTCTAACTATTGTAACAACAAGAGATCATTTGGTCCTTTAAGGCTGTTCCCGAAAACCCACCTCCAAGAAAATAAAAATTTAAGCCAATCCTTTATTTTTCAGGAAACTATTAACCTCCTCTCACTCATTAAACTATTATTATTTGCCAGCCTTCAGTACTTTTGATAGGAATCAGTTAAAACTAATTTTCAGGAATATGGCACATGTATAAAGGGTTATATTTAATATTTCTGTGAGTCTTGCATATGTAAATATTGGTAGCAGCTAGTTTTATGTTCTTTTGTGGATTAATTTTCTGAAGTTTGTATGTGACATTTTTTAAGCTATGACATCGACACTACCAGTCCCAGATTACAGACACATGTGAGTTGGTGCTTTTTAATTATTCCTTAATCTAATGTTTGTTGTAATATAACATATGTAATTTGGTTGATTAGTAAAAAGATGTGAAGATATTTTTATACTGATTACCATCCATTTTTGTCTTTTTGTGATGTCCTCTCCTTTCCTCAACATATATATATTCCCTCCTTCTCCCCCACATTCTGTTTCCTTTCTACATCACATAGGACTTCTATCATTCACCAAATGCCACTCTAGTTATTCTCAAATCACTGAATTTCTTTTTCTATAATGGTTCTACACCTCCTCTTTGCCACTTCTCTCATAAGATTAACCTTAGACTGTTTTTTTTTGTCAGTGTTTGCTTTAGAATTGGATGAAGGGAATAAGTGATTTGTTGAAACTTTTAAGAGTTGTTTAGTTTATTTTAAGTCAGTTAAGAAATGGTAGAAATATCTGCTGATGTCTTAAAGTCAGACCTCTGTTAAAATATTAAATTTTTTAAAGATTTATAAACATAATCATATTTGAAGGAAACATCAGTCTATAGCATGTTATTCAAAGGTGAAGTATAATGGAAAGTTTCAATAAATGTGTATAGTTACAAACTTATAAACTAGTTTCAATTTAATTCCATGTATTTAAAAATTCCGACTTTTTTTTCTGTTAATTCAAACGATCCATGTTATATGCCAGCATGATCATTGGTTTCATTCTCATATTTTGTTGTAGAAGTTGGAAAAACTTTTGTTTAGCAAAAAAAAGTCACTGAAAAAAAACTGATTGCTTTTAAATATATAATTTTCATTTGATTTTTATGTGTGTTTTTTTTACATGAAATGGAGGATTAATCATTTCTAAAGGTTAAATAGTGTCCCTTAAATGAGGTAGACTTACCTCTGAAATACCAAGAGCTTTTCCTTATTGGGTTTGAAATTATGCTATCAACAAAATGTCTGACTAAAAATTTTTGAATGTCCTTTATACATTGTAGAACATGTGTCACGTATAATTCTCCATTATCCCATCTTTTTCGTGACTAATTACTCAAGCATCAGAGGGACTTACATGCTATCATGCCATGATGTAGATTTTCTTATTGACTCTTATGCTGTTCACTTTTCTACAACATTCTTTTTGATGCAACTATTTCTGTAACTATCAAAATTTCTATCAGTTAGCTAGAAGCCATATTTACAACTTGCTATAGCATGTAGGACAAATTGTTGCTGCAATGTCAATTCTAACATTTCAGTGTATTTTGCTGTTGTATGTCAACTCTTAACACATCAGTGTAATTATGCTGTTGTATGTCAACTCTGACACATCAGTGTATTTGTGCTGTTGTATGTCAACTCTGACACATCAGTGTATTTGTGCTGTTGTATGTCAACTCTGACACATCAGTATATTTGTGCTGTTGTATGTCAACTCTGACACATCAGTGTATTTGTGCTGTTGTATGTCAACTCTGACATATCAGTGTATTTGGGCTGTTGTATGTCAACTCTGACACATCAGTGTATTTGTGGTGTTGTATGTCAACTCTAACACTTCAGTGTATTTGTGCTGTTGTATGTCAATTCTAACACATCAGTGTATTTATGCTGTTGTATGTCAACTCTGACACATCAGTGTATTTGTGCTGTTGTATGTCAACTCTGACACATCAGTT